TTGCTATTATACGAATATTTTTATGTTTTTCAACTATTTTTTGGAATTAACGACTTTTATGTTACTACTGTAACAATGTACATGTATCAGGATATTATTTTATGCTCAATGATAATACATGTATATATCAGGTTCATACAGTCGACTCTCAATATAACGACCGACCATGCAGATCCTATTGTAAACAATATAAATTCAATAGAATCTGCATGGTCGTTATATCGAGAGTCGACTGTATGCATCATACGTACAATAAGATCCGATGCATTGATAATCACTAATTCATGATTTTATTTTCCAGATCAGGTCGCTGAACACATGTCGTGAAATACGTATCGGTATGTGATAAGCCAAGTTACGTATTTACGAGTTTTGAATTCTAACCAAAATAATTTTACAAGAAAAAATTTATTCAGAGCCGAAACCGTACCCAATGCTCACAACTCAATGTGAGACTGTCACCTGCCGGCATAACTTGAATAAAGAAAGTTTAAGTTGAATCCCAATTGGTTATCATCGACATGTACTATATAACGCTAATAATAGATGAATTGCAGTCGTTGCCACAAACTTGATAGTGGCTTTGTTGCAACTCATTGATTGTTGCCTAATTGGTTATTTACGTAACTCGTTGTTGCTCGTCCACGTTTAAAATTCTCGACGTAATAAATATAAATACGTATAACGATAACGATAAATACAAATATTAATAGCCAAAATGCATCTTTTAAAAGCACTCACCTGCCTCGTTCTAATCGCTCTTGCTCAAAATGTCACTCAAGCCCAAATTCAAATTAATATTCCTAAGATGCCTAATATGCCTAATATTCCTAATATTCCTAACGTTGATACTCGTAGTTCAGGAGACAAAAAATACATTCTCGCTGATGCTCGTAAGCATACTTTTGTTCCTTCCACTATCAACATGCACCAAAACGATATAATTGTTTTTGTGGGAGATAAGAGTGACGACTCGTGGAAAACATTTAGTTACTATGTAAACCAAAATCAAAAAAAGTGCGAGAAAGATCCTAGCGCGGGTAGCGGTATGTGTCTCGATTTTGGAGTTAAATTCTACTTTTATAACTAACGCTAACTGACTTCGTCGTCGTCGTCGTTGTTGAACTACTTATAGCATCTATTGGCAAAGGTTCATCAAATGATGGATTCAGTTCGATCGGTAGCTTTAGTTCGTCTCTAGCACCAGGGTCTTTTTACTTCGCTGTTGGTTACTTTAACAATGTCAACAAATGTAGAATGAATTTAACAGCTATAGTTGTTGCTGATGATAAACCAACCACAGACACACCATATCCTAACTCCAACTCCAACTCCGACACTGATAACAACGTTAATCATAATTGGATTAAACTAGTTGGAATGATAGTTATCACTACAGTAATTATCCTAATCGCACGGAAGTTTTAGTAACTGGTTCTGAGGTGGATACTCGAGCTTTAGTTAACCATTCGTTAGATATCTTTAACCTTAATCTATGTTCAAACTAAGTAATAGATTACGTAGCTATTAAAGTGTGTATGTACATGACATGTATTATTTTTCGTTTTGATGAAATTCAATACATGTAATAGCTACAATCTTTAAAATTGTTATTTCATATACGTAAAAAAGATTCGAAATGAAAAAATAATCATCTTGGTTTATTCTCTTTTACTTTTGGACACATTATTATTACCGTTATATAAATTATTTTCAACGGCTCATAACAATTTATCGACGACAAAATTATATCGATATCGATATTCTTTGATACTGTCGACTTTAACATTACAACAACACCAATGTTTTTTTCCTTCGATCAGCGCCAGCATTGATAATCTACTTTACGTATCGGTATTTGCTGTTCTACTTTTTAATTAATATCCGTCGATATATCTTGATAATGACTTGAAACGAAATAAATATACAGTACAATATTTAAATTAACTCGATCCTAACGATTGATAATACAGTTTATTTAGTTTGCAACATGGCGATTCTTGTATATTATGTTTGTTTGCGGAAAACATTAGCTAGACGGAAAACATTAGCTAGGCGGTAAAGAATAATTTCGTGAATTTAATTGTTAGATCACTTTTTAACTAACATATATTGAAAACGATTAAAAAACGCTTCATGTAACAACGATAATTGTTCGCTTTTTTTAGTCTTGTTGCAATAATTAAATAATTTTATTGTGAATTTAGAGAGGCATATAAGTAAGCTCTTTATATTATTAATGCTACATGTACTTTTTGTAGGAGGATGAATTGAAAACAATATTTAATACTCGATACACATCCAACAGACTAGAACTCCACCACCAATCACCAAAAAAAGACAAACTTCACGAGCAAAGATAAAAGTAAAAAATTCAAATACCACTCCTAATATTTGCCGTCATCATCTTCAAATCAGTAAAGTAGTGGCGGCGTTGTATCTTTCATAATGACGATCGTCGGACGAATTGAAACCTTCTGACAAATCAATAGCTTAAATCACATGTATTTGGTGTTACATGTATTACGTCGATCACTAACCAAAGGCCAAAATTTTATAATTTTGTTTGACATTAATTTTTTGACGATCAAAATTTTGGCTAGCATTAAAACCGATAAATTGATTGTTTTACAATTTAGCGTTAGTTTTGCCAAAATTACGTACTTGATGAGTTGCACCATACGATTTGTTATTCGTCAAACGATTCGTCATTCGCCACTTGCATTTCCAAAGGGCCACGGCGAAAAGTTTCGTAATCGTCGAGTATCATTGGTTATTCTCCTTTTGCCAATGCAAAAAACAACAGGATATGTTTAATAAAAACAATAACAATAATAATAATGAGTCAGCGAGATCAGAAATACAGAAATATTTGGATTCGGGTTCGGCAAATGAAGGTTGTTGGGATTTCTTAATTTTTGACAAATTGTTTTAGCATTATATTTATGGTCACATTAGAAATACACAATGTAATAAAAATAGTTATAGAACTTATTAAAGACCTGTAACAAGTGATAAAGATGGTACAACCATACGAGTGAACAACAAGTAAAAAGTCTTAAATGTTTTTATTAGTGCTGTGTCAAAAAAGCTATTGTGTATACTTGCCACCTGCTTGCTCCTATAGAAACAGAGTAATAATGTTCTTGATATGGTTGTTTTGTCGATATTCGGCACGATTTCACTAAAGAAATTCATAATTGTAACAAGATTTCCAAACTACTTTAAATATTATCCGTCATCTAGATTTTTTCTGCTTTTTCTGTGAATCAATAGTACGTTTATAAAAATTCTTTATTTTGTCAGCAATATTTAAATTTCACAAATCACTTGATTAATAATACTGATATGGATTCAAGTTCTTTAGAAATATTAATTAATAAAATTCCCACGCGTACAAATTTTTCTCACATCCTAACGATATAAATTGGTTTCCAATTATTTTTATGGTGCTGCAAATGACAGAAATAATAAAGCAAGATTTTCTAAATTCCATTGATATTACCAAGCAATTTACAAAGGGAGTTTTTCTTGATGTTGAAATAATTCTAAATAACGGTGAAGTTATTTACGGGAATCAGTAAGTCTCTGTTTATTTCGAACCGTATTTTACCAAAAATATTAGCATACTAACTAATTTTTTATATAAAAAGGACCTTTATAACTAATAACTCAAAGACCCTATCCGAACTTATGCAAGAAACTCCAAAGAAAACGATGATTCTCAATTTACGACAAATATTGAATTCTCTACCCATCAATGACGGATCTCTTTCTAGTGCTTTCAAAAGCTTACTTTGTTATTTCCATATTGGGATACTCAGTTTGAACAAGTTATCAAAGGACGAATTCATTGGGGTTGCATTTTTTGTGCATTGGCTCAATGTCAATAACTTGTTCGATCCGATTTCCGAGCAAATCAGAGGTTTTAAACTGAACGCAAAAGAGTCGATTGGTTACTTGAATAGATTCTGTAGTGTAACCCTATCTTTAGAGATATCGAACTTTTTACGTATCTTTGTAAAAAGCTTGATTGATAATATCAAATTGACGGCGAATCGACCTTTCTTGATTTAAGATACGATTCGTTCGTATTTTGTGTTCAAGAGTATAAACAACTAATGTCGACTAGCAATACACAGTCAAATATTTCGTCATCACATGATAAAAATCTATTTCGTTTGATTCGTGAATGGATCGATAGTAAAGATGAAAACTCTAATTTATCAAAGTTTCGTAAAGAGAGGTTATTTTCTTATGTGAATGTGAACTTAAAAGCAATTTGTTCAAAAGTATTATTGAAAGAGGTAAGCTGTTTTTATGCACAACAATTTATTGTTATCTATGAATATTTAACAATATCGAAAGTTTTTTAAAAGGTGGTAACTTGTGGTCACATCAACCAAGATGTATTATATCCGGTGATATTATTTAAACTTGAAGAACTAACAACCTTACCAGACTTGAGACAAGAAATTCTTCCTCGATTAGAAAGCACTCAGTTCAAAGAAGAAACTGATAAACTGGAGCATTCTGTAAGAGCAAATATGATTTTTTGCAACATGTTAAATTTTACATAGCTATAATCTTTAACTTTTCATTTATATTTATAAAAGGATAATCAAAAAATATTGGATCAAGTCAAAAAAGACTCCTACATTGAATACAATCCTACTCCACATCATAAAGACTCTGATATTGAATATAATCCTACTCGACTGCATTATAAAAAAAGTAATGGGAAAGAATATGAAGCGTATTATGAATATGATGTGAGCCAATATGAAGCTACTTATCCGCGTTATAAAAATGTTAATGGGAAAGAATATGAAACCAATCATACAAAAGGTAATGAGAGAATATGAAAGAGGAAATTATTTCAGTATGGTAATCAGAAACTGCTAAAAAAAGCCAATTAAAACAATTTATATACTTATATAATAGCATCTCACAAAATTTTCTATTTGCCCCAAGGAAAAGAATATGATACAGAATTTAACATTAAATATATGACAAGAAAGCAGAAAAAATGCGCTACACTTTTCCGAACAGAACAACGCAAAGAAAAAGAATTACGAATTGCACAACAATTTAGAGTCTAAAACCCCAAAGCGAGAAACATCGTGGCCACAGAACTCATTGTCAATCAAAGTCAAAATAATGATTGCATAATTTTCTAGTTTTATATGAATTATGTGCTCAGTTATTGAGCCAATAGGATATAAGCATAATTTGATTTTATGTAAGCAATATGAAGGAAGAAAATAACAGTTTTGAAAATAATTTGCTTTTTTAGAAGTCAAATTATTTTGGTAATCGCATCTTAATAATAGAAACTTTCAGGTTACTGCAATACATCGAAGAAATAAATATCCCAAAGAAAGACCGTCTTGGGTATTGCTAACTTTTTCGAGTTAATATATTACTTCCTTTAAACCCCAAATAATGCCATCACACAACAATATCCAAATTCAATATTTAACAACCTATAATTCCTGTCTTCCTTGGTTAATCTAAGACATTTATTGATATATAGCCAGGCGGTAAGTTTGCCAAGACTTGGAACGATGCTCCCATATAATTAGTTTTTCGACTTGTAAATTCCTCTTCACATTAAATCAACTCTCAATAAATGCAATATCGTTTAAATTAAGTTTATAGTGCCGATTCCAAGAGTATTAAGAAAAGCATAATAACTGTATATATAGAACTGCTATTGTAATATAGTTACGCTTCTCTTAATACACGTACATGCTGATACGTACTCTTGGAACTGGTACTATAAAATTCACTTAAAAGTTTGCATTAGAAAGAGTTATCTCCTGAGCTTGAAATTTAATTTTATTTCATTATATCAAGGATTTCATTATATCGAAGTTTGACTGTAACTGTATTTCTTTGTTTTCTCAGCAATTCTCCAATTGTAAATTAAAAAAACTTGAAATTTTAGTATATTTTAAAACTACAAGCTTAGAATATAAAAGCATGGGTTTTTATTAATTTTGCACTATCAATAAAGTTGCAGCGATAATACTTTTTTTGTGCAAATTATTTTTTTTTTGAAAATTATCTAGGCTAATATATTTTAGCTATAACTTTTTAATGAAAAATATTCTTCTTTACTAACTAAACTCCAAAATTACCTAAAGTGAAAGAATGGCAGTGAAATTCAACAAATATTCCTGAACAAGACTTAAATAAAGCTATTCAGTGATTAGTTGAAAAGATTTAATACAAGTTTGTATTAGTTTCCTCTCTATTGCTTCGCGAAAAAGTGCTCGATGACTTTTGTCCGCTGAGTGTATTTATTTATCCATTCATCCTTCATAATGACACAGGCGATTCGAGGGTCAACTCACACCTTCATGGACCGGGGCCAGTCGGTAATGTATAGTGCTCTAATTGGATCAGTCAAATCTGTGACCTGACCCAGAACGCACATTTTGGTTCAGTCAGGTCAGATTGGGGTCAAACCCGACCCAAAATATTTCGGGTCAGCCTAAAAAACGTTATTTCTCATTCAATATTAATTGGAATTAAACAAAAATTTGTGGGTATATACACAATTACATTTTGAACAACTCTACTTAGACAAGTGTCTTAGTAAAATACAAGTTCATCAGAAAATTTTTTGGAGTGATTTGTATCGATATTTATCATTAGTTATATATCGATATATATCCGAGTCGTCGATGCATATCAAAACAGATATTTGATATATATCAATATATATCAGAGTCATCGATGTATATTGTTTAATGATGTAGATCATTAAATATCATTATTTAACAATATAGATCATTAAATATCATTGTTTAATGATGTAGATCATTAAATATCATTGTTTAATGATATACATCGTTAAATATCATTATTTAACGATATAAATTATTAAATATCATTGTTTAATGATATATATCATTAAATCGACTTATTTTATTAAATATTAATATATGTATAAATATCATTATTTAATGATTTTTATTATTAAATTCAGAATATTTTTTATTATTAAAATGAAAATCTATTTAATAAATATAATTCTAATAATCCCCAGCTAATTGATCAATATTTTCATCCTCACTACTAACTATAGTCTCTGTAAATAAGTCATTT